CTCTGTAAAACAGACATTAATGAAAAGTTTTATGACATATATGGTAAAAAAAAATATTTTTATTTTCTTTCTTCTTCTCAAAATTTAATTCAATGTTTATTATGTCCTCAGATGCATCTTTTTTCCTCAAATAATAAAATAAAATAAAAGCAAAATAAAATTTTGATCTGCCAAGTCTTTCCAGGGTGACTGACAGTCATGTGGTTTAACAGGGAAAAAATATAACTCATATGCATTTTACTAAGAGTATTGATTTCTCTGAATTTTCAGAAATAGTTTAACATCCTTTGGAAGAGGAAAGCTAGGCAAATATGCATTCATTAGATACACATAGGAGAACTAATATATAAGAAGAAATTATTTCGTTTAGAGACAATTTAAATATTTGAAAAAAATCTGGTTACTGTTCCTCATTAATAAATTATATCATTTTCCCCAAATTCCTTAAAAATTGCAAACTTGTAAAGAGTAAAACCAGTGTTTAATTGTACATTTTGATCTGATAACTTTATTTTTTTTCATTTCAGATACCATACAAAATGGCACCTACATATTATATACATTTTCAGTTTCTAATGTAAGCATTCTTCCTTTGACACATAGTTTAATATATATTTTGTTAATGACTAGGTTATTCTTCTAAAATGGATTTTTTTTAAAAAAGGTGTTTACTTATACCTCCATATTTCAATGGAAAGCAGTGGAATAAATAATTCCATTGAATTGTTAAAGTATTGAATTGTAAGTAAGTTATTATGATACAATTACATATTTAAATATAGTAGGTAAGTTTGTGATCATGTTCTTGATGCACAGAAGTATCTAGACTTATTAAAGTTCTACATCTTATTTTAAAATGTTTCTGGGAAAAAAATTCAACATATTTAAAAATGTCTTCATGTATCAGTCACTGCAAAAATTGGTGTGGATTCTGGATCACAATGACAAAACTATTGTTGTTGTTATGTGCTGTCAAGTCAGACTTGACTCATAGTGACCCCTCCTTGGGTTTCTGAGGTGGTATCACTATGGAAGTAGATCACCCAACCTTCCTTCTGAGGAGTGGCTGGTGGGTTTGAACTGCCAGCCTTCTGGTTAGCAGTCAAGTGCCTTAGGCATTACACTACCAGAGCTCCCTGAACAAACTATACATACAGCTAAATGTTTTGAATAATTAATAACAATTTTTTTTGTAAATGTTGAACTTATTTGTGTATTCATTTTTACCAAAGTTAAGTTATTCCTCATTGATATTAGGGCTAGAATAAGAAGGGGTATATATGAGTTGCATTATCAATAATTTGGGTTATCTGTGAAACTAAATTTTGTGGAAAGTATACAAAAATAAAAATAAATAAATAAAACAATAAGATAACAGCAAGAATCACCAAGGGGTATTTTAGTGTCTACTCTTTAGCTGGGAAGACCTGGTGATAATGGAAGGTTAGATGTTTTTTTCTTCTACTTCTTTCACACCTCTATTGTTATTTCAGGTTTGTGTCCAAAGACTTCTTCCCTAACACTTCGTATTATATATATTTTTCAGAATAATTTAAATATTACATGTACTCATTCATCGTACCAGGAAGGAACTACTTTAGCATTTGAGACTATAAAAATCCTTGGGTTGACAGACTCTGTTACAGAAGTTACTGTGGCAGAAACAAATCAAGCAATGACTCTTCACACAAGTTTTACTTATGATGTCTCCAACAAGGTATATTAAATATTTTAGAATATTATAACTGACCTATACTCTCACATTTACTTTCCATAACCATTATGTACTTGGTGTTGTGATATTATCTTCCTTCATGATATGTATTATTACTCATACTTTCAGCCAATATTTCATTTTCAGCTCTGCCAATTTATAATTAGATAACAGCATTAATGGTTATCTTAGCCACTACTCAATCTCTATTTCAATTTTTCTTGAAATTCATTTCTAGTTGCCTTCCTAAGATATATATATATATATATATATATATATATATATATATTTACATACCCTTCTCTACTCTGAACTCCAATGTACACATCTATTGCATACAGAATGTTTTATCTTCACAAGTGAGACTTTAGAACATTGATTGAATCCACTTTTTTGGTAACGCTCCTTGCTTCCCCCATTCCACTTGAACTCTTCTTGTCTTCGAAATTTGTCTTCCTCTTTTCTGAGCTCACCTTTTTATTTACTTGCTTTCTTTCAAGTAGAATGTCTTCCTTATCTTGTCTCTTTTAATAAGTGTAGAGAAGGAAAAGGACTCTTAAAATTGGGTTCTATCCCAGTCCTGCTGTCTATGTATTTAGATGCATTAATTTGATCTCTCAGAATGTCCACCCCCTCATATGTAAGATGTAATATTAAACATAGTGTTGTTTTTGGTAATGAATTAATATATTTCAAATGTTACACAATAATAATTCAAAACAGGAAAGCTATTTTTATTGGCATTTACATTTCTACCATTAATGTATGACTAAATATAGTGATATTAGCATAAATAAATTATAAATTATTTGCGGTATAGAGTATTACCTTATAATATTTTTCTTAAATCTAACTTCAGCTCTCTTTCCTCTTATTTTTCATATAGCAAATATCAGAAAAATATGTAGTGATTATTTTAATTTAATAAACATACTGTAATTTGTAATTTCCTATCAGTGTAGTAAGAAATCAATATAAATTAAATTTAAAAAGCATTGAGAACTTTATGAATCTAACAAAGTTTATGAAGAGGGCCCAATATAAAATCATTTTTTATGGTTATATGTGAAGGCTTAATTAGCCTCTATGTTTATTTTTAAGCATATACAAACATATACATAGGCACTTGTAGATATAACTTCCTAATTCAGCTGCACTTAGGTTGATCTTTATATGAATTTTCTTATGAGTAAATTTGGAGGATATCCAAAAGTAAATTATCCAGAGGAAAATCTGCTTGGCATTAAATCCTGCTTGTTATTCCCAAGGTATGTGAGCAATAATGAAGCATAATGGAATATCCCAGTAATAGACATAATTCTGTACTAGAATATATATTCATAACTATCCTTCCTTTTTCCTTTTTTACATGTCATATTATTTCATCATTCAAACATTTTAAAAAGTGAATAAAATTAAAGATAAAACAAACCAAATTCATTGCCATCAAGTTGGATCCGACTGATAGAAACCCCTCCTTGTGTTTCTGAGGCGGTAACACTAAGGAAGTAGATTGCCCAACCTTCCTTCTGAGGAGTTTCTGGTGGGTTTGAACCATCAGCCTTCAGGTTAGCAGTCAAATGCCTTAAGCACTATGCCACCAGAACTCCCAAAATTGGGGATAAAAGGAAATAAATAGATATTTCCCTCCTCTGATTTTAAGAGCCTCCATATTAATCAAACTGGTCAATTTTTCTTCCTTGTATATTCCTTAAGGAAATAAATATATGTTTAATGCACAGTATGCCTAAAGCATTGTCATAGGTGATTCAAATTTCACATCTCATTCATTCTGCAAAGCAATTCTTGTCAGTAGATGCTATTTCCCTATTTAAAGGGAAGGGGATTGAGAATAATACAGGATATACCATGTGCCCAAGAATATACAAGCACTGAATGTCAAAAGTAAGAAGAGAACTCAAGTGTGGATGCAAAGACAATGCTCTTCTCAGTATTCTCTATACCTCTCAAAGCTTTACTATTAAATTTTCAATATTTAAACAATGATTTTTTTTTTCTGTCCTATTCCATTTCTGTTATATTCCACTTGAATACAGTTATTCCAGTACTATTTCAAACTATTAATTTGATTTGAGAAATGCTGTCACTGATGCATTTTATAAATGTTAAGTATTTCAACATTGTTCAATGATCAGAGATAACATAACAATATTTTTGTTTTCGAAGGTTCTCCTGATTTACAATCTCACTTTTAATCTTGGAAAAAGTTTTAAAGTTCAGTGGAATCAAATTTTTTCTGAAAATGAAAAGTTTACTTGTTACCCGGATGCAGACGGTGCAACTGAACTAAAGTGTAACCAACGTGGTTGTTTATGGGAAATGGTAATAAGAATTTAAAATATGACTCTGATATGACTTTCAACTAAGCATTTTAATGCAAAATTTAAATCTTATAATTTTAATTAGACAGTACCAAAACAAAAACACCAAACTCACTGCCATCAAGTTGATTCCAACACATAGCGACTCCCTTTCACATAGCGACTCCCTTTGGGTTTCCGAGGAAGTAAATCTTTATGGAAGTAGATTGCCCAGTCTTCACCTTTGGAAGCATTTGTAATTTGAAAATACACCACTGGTAGACAATTTATTTTTACTTTACATAAGACTCCAAAGATGAAGTTTCACAAAAGTCATGCTAAATGGTTGTATGGGTTTCTTTCCAGATATTATGTCATTAGAGGATATTGTTTAAAAAGCATTATGTTAAGGTCATGAACTTCTGATATTGAGTAACAGCTCTATTCCTTTAATTTCTGGTCTCCTATTTTCCCCATTTTTTAAACAGAAAAATGATGGCTTTGTATGGCAGATATTTTAACCAATGTTACAGGAAAAGGATATGGGAAGAGTCCCCTTTTGATTTTCAAATCCTAGGCTTTGTCATTTGGCTTTCTCATCTGAAAATCTATTTCATATAACCAAACGATGAAATGCGTGTGTTACTCCACTGAGAACGTCAAGACATAATAGCCAACAATTTCCCAGAAATAGCTACATATCCATGAGAGATATAGAAACTCTGCCTCCTGAAAAATTGCTTCAATTCTATTCCTTTGCTTGACAAAACAGCATAATATTTACAATTAGGGATTAGGGAAGAGTTGAAGAAGAAGAATGAGAGCAGATAAAATTTTGAGATTAAGGAAAGCCAAATAATAGTGAAGATTTTTTTTTTCCCATTTCTTCAGTATCTTCTGCTTACTGTGTACATCTCCAGTCAAATCCCCATTTTATTCAGAGCATGTGCACGTCAGACCACCACCAAAAGCAATCTAATGGATGAACATTAACAATTCATTTTACTAAAACAAAGCTATATTTTAAATATGGAAACGTGAACATAATTGCATAGTTTCTTAGGTTAAGTGAGTAGAACTTTAATGTTAGGATTTTAGGCATAAGACCATTAAATTTGATGACTTAGAGTACTTGTATGGATACTTGTGTTTCCTAAGACATTATTTATTCTTTGATTCATTTTAAAAAAAATATTTATTGAAATCTACAATCTTCTAGGCAAACCCAATAAGTCCTGCTGCTGTGATGGAGCTTATAGTCTACTGTGTGAAACAAACACATAATAGAAAATTCTGTTATGTTATAGAAGTACTATGGATGGAAATAAAGCAGGAAAAGGGAGGAGACAAATACCAAATACGTAATTTAAAGATTGGATAAGGAAGCTTTCTTTAAGAAAGTAACATTTTTTAATAAAGATTTGAAGGAAAAGGAAAAAGAGAATGATAATGCAGAGAGACAACAAATCAACCTAAAGAGAACCTGAAGTGAAAATGTACCTAGTATAGTCCACAGGCAGCAAGGAGGCTAGTGTGCCTGAAATGGAATGAGTGAGGGGAACCAAAGCATGAGATGTTATCATATCCATATGGAAACAGATATTGTACATCACTTAGGCCAATTTTAGGATTATGATTTTTACTCTGTGATAAGATACTAATGAAGAGTTTTGAACAATTATTGTTCATTTTAACGACTGCTGTATTGTATTGTCCTGTAACAGCCTCTTATAGGAACAAAGCAGGGAGACCTGATAAAAGACTGTTGCAATGATCAAGGCAAAATAGCATTCAAATGGGGCCAGCGTAGTGATGGTAAAAGAGTAAGAAATAATTTTCTTTTCTCCATATTTTTAAGATAAAGCTAATGGGTTTATTAGTTCATTGCATATAGAATATAAGAGAAAAAGAAGAATAAGGAATGCCTAAGGGTTTGTGTGTGTGTGTTGTTGTTGCTTGAATAAGTACAAGGAAGAGGAAGTTGATATTAATAGACATTGGAAGGCTGTGGGAAGAGCAGGCTTAGAGAAGAGTTATGCTTTGGACAAAGTAAGGTTCAGAAGCCCAGCAGAAATCTAAACTGTGAGTTGTAGTTAAGTTAAAGAAATTCAGAATTTTATCTCCCAGATGTGTTATACAATTTAAAGCCAGCATATGTATAATTTTTAAAGCCATACAATGAGATAAGATCATCAAGGGAAGGAGCTTGGAGTGAAAAGAAAAGAAGTTCCAAGGCTAAATCTAGATAATCTTAACTTTTATTGTCAGGGAAATTAGGAGAAACAAGAAAAGAGACTGAGAAAGAATGGCAAAGAATTAGGTTGAAAACAAAAAGGAATTTTTGTTTTGGAAGTCAAGTGACTGAAGCATTTCAAGAAGGTAGACATAATCAACTGTGCAAATTATGCTTATAAGCCAGTTAAATGAAGAACAATGCTTACATTTAGATTTGGCAACATGGAATTTTTGAAATCTTGACAAGAGTAATATTGATGGAGTGCTGAGAGTAAAAGGTTGGCTACAATTAGTTCAAGTGTGAATCAAGATTACAATTGGGGAAAACAAGTATAGTGAAGTATTCTATGTTTTGTTGTAAAGAAAATAGAGGTATATGGCTGCAAATGGAGAAGTTTGTGAAGTGAAAGTTTCTTTTATTTTCTTTCTTCTTTTTCTTTAATTGAGAGAAGTAACAAAATGTTGTTAAGAATGATTAGTAATGAGTGAAATATGAGTGATGGAGGAGAGCAGAGGATTGTGAGAGAGATGTTCTTGTAGGCAAGAAGGCATAGGATTGGGAGCGTAAAGAAACTGGATCACCTTGAATCCATACAGTACATATCTTTTGTATCTTGTGAGGGGAGGTGATATATATCAAGTTGTAACCTTCGTACTGCTAAAATGCATAAATGTATTTGGGGAAGGGTAAGTTTGAGAATAATAATTTTGAAAAGTACTCAAACATACATTGTACATTTAATCAATTATATATTACTTGGGTGGGCCAACTTTAGTCTATGTTGTTGTTATTTGCCATCGAGTCAGACCTGACTCATAGCGACCCCTCCTTGTGTTTCCTAGGCAGTATCACTACGGAAGTGATTGTTCAACTTTCCTTCTGAGGAGTGCCTGGTGGGTTTGAACTGCTAGCCTTCTGGTTAGCAGTCAAGTGCCTTAGGCACTGGTCTTTAAAATGTTTCCCTAAATTAAGTAACCAGATTATTTTCATACTAATTACAAAAAATAGCATTGTTGATGGTAATTTCAATAAGAAAAATAAATGAGAATAACTGTAATGAGAAAGAGGAAATGACACTATAATGAACAATATCTATGGGGGAGACATAGACAAGCTTTACAATTTTCCAAAGTCAATCCTATTCTTGTTTCTATTGGTGTACATTTCATGCACTGAATTTGGAATGAGTGTTGTACTATGCATTTCAGTTTAAGTTGTTTAAGTTGAATGTAATATCTGAGTCAACTCACCGCTGTGGAGTCAGATGTGACTCATAGCGACCCCTCCTTGGGTTTCCGAGGCAGTATCACTATGGAAGTAAATTGCCCCATCTTTCTTCCAAGGAGTGGCTGGTGGGTTTGAACTACCAGCCTTCTGGTTAGCAGTCAAATGCCTTAGGCACTATGCCACCAGAGCTCCTAGTATCTGAGTAATTTAAACAAAATAAGAACTACATATCTCTCATAAAAATTAATTCCAGTCCTAATATACAAGCATTTCAATGTCCATCACTGTCCCTGGATCCTCCATTTGGTTTTCACCCTCAAAGTTGCATCATGGCTCCAGCCATTATATTGACATTCTGGACATATAGAACAAGGGTGGTGGAAGGACAAAAAAAAAAAAAAAAAACCAACTCATTGCCATAGAGTCAATTCGACTCATAGTGATCCCTCCCTGGGTTTCTGAGGAGGTATCTCTATGGAAGTAGATTGCCCAATCTTCCTTCCAAGGGTGTGGTTGGTGAGTTTGAACTGCTAGCCTTCTGGTTAGTAGTCAAATGCCTTAGGCATTACACCACCAGAGCTCCTGGAAGCACAAAAGGCATCCTGATAATTTAATCAGCTTATCCCCCTTTCTATCAAGGAGCTGTCAGGGTCATTCATAATTTAAGCAAAAGTCTTGGAAATGTTTTCACTGAGCACATTGTTGCTCCCAACAATAAAATGATTTACTAAATAAAGAAGATGATAAGAATGGATCATAATAAGGAAACTTGCCTCAGTGGCACATATAATCATTCTTTGTCTTAGGCTGTAGCTCTCATCCCCATATAAACCAATCAATCCAAATATTCTATAAATATTTTAGTATAAGGTGTATAAGATCACATAATAGGTATTTTCTGTTGTCATTGTAAATCTATTTTTCTATTAAACATTAGAATTTGCAAATCAGCCACTGTTGTTGTTGACGCTGTTAGATAACATTGAGTTGCCTCTAACTCATAATAACCATACGTGTAACAGAAGAAAATGTTACCTAGTCCCCCGTCACCTTCACAATCGTTGTTATGTTTGAGCCATTGTTGCAGCCTAAAAATAGGTCTAAAACTTATTTTTTAAAATCCAATATTGTAATACTGCATATCTGTCAGTGAACATATGTTTCGTTTTTCAGACTTCTTTTAGTTCCAGAGCACCTGAGTGTTATTTTCCTAGACAAAACAACCCTTATGTGGTCAATGCCATCAGTTATTCATCAACGGGTATAACAGCTGCCCTACGGTTGAATACTGCTAATGCTCGGATCACATTACCTTCTGTGCCTATCTCGACTCTTCAAGTGGAGGTGAAATATCACAAAAATGATATGCTGCAATTTAAGGTATGATTAATATAAACTGTGCCAATACTTGACTCATCTTTTGAGAGGAGATTTTTTTTAATAGGTTGTTGTTGTTGTTGTTTGCTGTCGAGTCGGCCCCGACTCATAGCGACCCCTCCTTGGGTTTCCGAGGCAGTATCACTACGGAAGTAGGATTGCCCAACCTTCCTTCCGAGGAGTGGCTGGTGGGTTTGAACCGCCAGCCTTCTAGTGAGCAGTCAAGTGCCTTAGGCACTATGCTACCAGAGCTCCTTTTAATAGATTAGGTGCTTGGAATTATAATATAGATATTAATGTTTAGTAATTGGTTTGATAACATACTCATTTTATAAAAACAGTTATTTTTTCTTTATTCTTTAGCATGGTGAATAATTAAATGCTCACTCAACAAATGTAGCTTGCTATTTTTTTTAATTTTATGAAAAATTAAATATATAGTGATTTTTAAAATATTTCAGTTATTGCTATAAAAGGAACAAGCATGTCCCTGAAAAACGAACTATGTTGATAATCTGATTAAAGTGAGCTAAACAGAATAATTATTATTTCCATAATTTTAAAATAGTGGTTTGATTTTTTTTGCTCAATGAAATGATACATGCAAAAGAAATAATGTTTTCAACATTTAAAGTTGGAAATATTTTACTTAAGAACTCCAAGAGAACTCTTTAAGAATACTATTAGAAATAAGAAGATAGATAGGCAAAAAAAAAGCACAAAAAATGAAATCCCTCAAAATGATTATTTCCTATATATGATCCTTCACCAATTAGAAGCTGAAAGTTGGCCAATCCCAATAACAAATGGAAACAATCAAATAAACAAGGAGAACATAAAAAAATTAAAAAAAAAAAAATCATAGGAATAAGTGGTCTGTCTGTAAGTGAAAAAAAAAAAAACTGATAAAAAGTGTCTGTAGATATATGAAGTAAATCCTAAGAAAGACTAAAAGTCAGTTTTTTAAATAAAAATAATATATTAAATTAAAAAGTTAGTTTTTAATTAATTTTCAGTTTATGTCTTTAAAGTGTTCTTAATATAAATTTCAAAGGAATTTATTTTGAGACTTCGTAATATAATCCTTAAGTATAGTTGGAAAGATAACTATATGACAACAGATAAAACGTGAAAGGGTGGTGGAAATTTACATAATTAAAACAATTGTAGAGACAGAATTGTCTGACAGTTCATTTTAATCAGATGTCAAAAAAGCATGAAAGACACACTTACAGACACACACATACATAGCTCTACTACAAAGCAATGCAAACATGACAAACTAATAATAAATTGATTATTCAATTATCTATTGGAAACCCAGTAGGGGTTGCTATGAGTCAGGGCTGACTCACTGACACATAATGACAACAACATGTAGGAAAAAATGACTTGCCTCAAAACATATGGTAAAATAAAATATGTGAGTTGCATGTGAAAAAGAAATAAAACAAAATGATAGAAAAATAATTTGATACATATTTAATTTTTGTTGGGTTAGTAAAATCTTTGCAACCACAAATACAAAGTTGTAAATTCCATAAAGATCAATATATTTTCTAAATAAAACTTAAATGTATTCCAATTCAGAAAACACCATAAACAATTAGAAAAAATAGGTAAATATCTGATACAAATATTACAAAAGATAAAACTTTTACTCTTAACATCAAGAAAAATACTATGATCTCATAATCAGACATTTAACAGAAAAAAAATAAAATTTAAAATGGAAATGTTAAAATATTTACACTCATTAAAACACAAGGGAACAAAAAGAAAAAAAATTCAAAGAAATATAAATGTCAAATAATTGTATAGAAAAAGGTGAAACCTCACTAGCAAGGAAATTAAATGACAATTAAAAACAGATGTTTTTAAGGTTTGAATAAATTGGCATTCAATTATGTGTTTTTGTGAGAATATATATTAGTACAATAATCTGGAGAGCAGTTTGCTAGTAAATATCATGAACCCAAAAGTATTTGTACTCTATGATATATTAATCATATTACTAAAAAAATTTACTGAAAAATAACTAAAGGCATTATAAATATTAACAAGCAATAACATTCACAACAACATTATACAGATGACAAAATATATTGGGACAGCTTGTGTCTAATCATGATGGTATAAATAATTTTGGTATATGTCTATAATAGAATTTTCAGCTCTAAAATTTTTTTTCAAGATTTTTCAATGTATGGAAAATTAACAAAAAATTATCAAAATAAAAGTACAAATAATAACAAATGTTTTTCCATTATGTATGCATATATATTTTATATAGATACATTAGCCATGAGTTTAGAATTAGGAATTATATAGGCAATAATTTTAAGTATTCTTATTAATCATTAGTTCAATTATTAATGATGTTTAAATAATATGTCAATAATAAGAGGAAACACTATCTAGTTCCATTATCTCTCTGCAATAGATTTATGATCCCCAAAATAAGAGATATGAAGTTCCAGTACCATTAAACATTCCAACTACTCCAACAAGTACTTATGAAAACAGACTTTATGATGTTGAAATCAAGGAAAATCCTTTTGGCATCCAGATTCGTAGGAGAAGCACTGGAAGAGTTATGTGAGTGATTGAATTATTTCATATGAAGGCTATTTTAATTGTGATTGGAACACAGATGGAAATATGATTTTTTTTTCACAGCCATCACTGTTCTAGAATAACATCACACTAAGATAATGGAAGCAGTATTAAGCAGCTTGACCTAATTTAATGTTTCTAAGCTAAACAATTAGCACACCCATGGGATGATCATACATTTATCTAAAATTTAATTTATATTAAATGTAAATTGATGTAGTTGATTTCATAATTAAATATCAGAATCATTCCTCTAGCTAAGGAGAGAAGCAAAGCCAAAAATCCTCTTGAAAAGCATGGGTAGGGGTGAAAGATGAAAAATTGGAAAGTGAATTATGTCAATATTTTATTAGAACTGTTAATATTGGAGTTTATTGCAATTGGAATCTGATAAAGTCAATAATAGCTCTATCAATTATTAATGAAAAGAAATTATGATAGTTACTTCTAGATACATTTTTCAGTTATAATTAATAAATTTAATTTAGAAAATTTTATGTCTTAATTTTATTCCAAAACTATAACAACTATTTTAAAATAATTTTATATAAATTAAGCTTGTGATATCATCATTTAAACATGTTATTGTAAAGCCTGATATAAATAATGAAGAAAATTATGTCCATATTTAAAAAATAATTTTCTTGTAACAGTATTTTTCTACAAAAGGATGAAAAGCTAAGTCATTTTTAAAAAAAAAAAATGTCCTGGGACAAAAGCATTATTTATATGGGAATCATTATTCTCTAAAAAAATACTAATGCTGTCAGGGATAGGATAAGATCTATACACCTACAAGAAAGACCAGTTAACACTACTATTATTCAAATTTATGCACCAACCACTGACACCAAAGATGAGGAAATTGAAGATATTTATCAACTTCTGCAGTCTGAAATTGACTGAACATGCAATCAAGATGTGCTAATTATTACTGGTGACTGGAATGCAAAAGTTGGAAACAAAAAAATCACCAGCAGTTGGAAAATTTGTCCTTGGTGATAGAAATAACACTTGAGATTGCGATATAATATTGCAAGACCAAGGACTTATTCATTGCAAATACATATTTTCAACAACACAAATGGCAGATATACACATGGATTTTGTTAGATGAAGTACACAGGAATCAGACTGACTACATCTGTGGCAAGAAGTGATGGAAAAGCTCAGTATTTTTAACCAAAACAAGGCCAGGAGCTGATTGTAGAACAGACCATCAACTTCTAATATGCAAGTTCAAGTTGAAGTTGAAGATAATTAAAACAAGTCCACAAGAGCCAAAATTTGACCTTGAATATATCCCTCCTGAATTTAGAGACCATCTAAAAAACAGATTTGATGCACTGAACACCAATGAACAAAAACCAGAAGAATTGTGAAATAACATCAAGAACATCATCCATAAAGAAAGTGAAGCATCATTAAAAAGACAGAAAAGGAAGAAAAGACCAAAATGGAAGACAGAAGAGACTCTGAAACTTGCCCTTGCATGCAGAGTAGCTAAAGCAAGTGGAAGAAATGACAAGATAAAAGAGCTGAACAGATTTAAAACAGCAGCTTGAAAAGACAAAGTCAATTACTTTAATGAAATGTGCAAAGACCTAGAGTTAGAAAACCAAAAGGGAAGAACACGTTCAGCTTTTTACAAGCTGAAATAATTGAAGAAAATGTTTAAGCCATGAGGTGAAATACTGAAAGATTCTATTGGTAAAATATTGAATGATGCAGGAAACATCAAAAGAAGATGGAAGGAAAACACAGAGTCACTGTACCGAAAAGAATTGGTCGATATTCATCCATTTCAGGAGGTGGAATATGATCAAGAGCAAATAGTATTGAAGGAAGAAGTTGAAGCTGCAATGAAGGAGGTGGCAAAACACAAGGCTCCAGGAATTGACAGAATACCCATTGAGATGTTTCAACAAATGGATGCCTCACTGGAACTACTCACTTGGCTATGCCAGGAGATTTGGAAGACAGCTACCTGGACAATTGACTGAAAGAGATCCATAATCCATTCCAAAGAAAGGTGATCTCACAGAATGTGGAAATTATCGAACAATATCATTAATGCTGCACACAAGTAAAATCTTACTGAAGATACTTCAAAAATGGTTGCAGCAGTATATTGACAGAACTTCCAGAAATGCAGGCTGGATTCAGAAGAGGGCATGGAATGAAGATGTCTCCCTGGGGACTAAGGTTTGCCTGACACAAGCCATGGTATCGCCTCATATGTATGTGAGAGCTGGACAATGAATAAGGAAGACCAAAGAAGAGTCGATGCCTTTGAGTTTTGGTGTTGGCTAAGAATGCTGAAAGTATCATGAACTGCTAAAAGAACTAACAAATCGGTCCTGGAAGAAGTTTAGTCGAAATGCTTCTTAGCCGCAAGAATGGCTAGACTTCATCTCACCTACTTTGATCATGTTGTAAGAAGAGACCATTGCCTGGAGAAGGATATCATGCTTGGTAAGGTGAATGGTAGACAAAAAGGGGAAAGGCCCTCAATGAGATGGATTGACACAGTGGCTGCAACGATGGGCTCAAGTATAACAGGGATTGTGAAGCTGGTGCAGGACCAGGCAGTGTTTCGTTCTGCTGTTCATGGGGTCACCATGAGTCAGAGACGACTCGATGGCACCTAACAACAACAACATTCTCTAAAAATATTTTCTTAAAAAAATTGACGTGAGAAACTTAAACAAGTCCCAAATCTTTGAATACTTATACTTCCTCTCCCTGTTATAATGGCTTACTTTTCTTCCTCCTTTATGTTCTTGTAAATTATTAGCAAAACAATAAATTCTTTGTGACACATTTTTCTAAATATATTTCTTCATAAGCATCAATTTTTTATAAGTACAAAATAAAAGAAGAAAACTGTTTTTAATAACTGGGGTAGTGATTAGGGAGAATTTGGGATTTAAATAATAATTAAGCCATACATTTATATTTTAGATTGATTTAGTTATATTCTTTGTATAGAAAACTTTTATCATTATTATCTCTAAAGTTTGAGAAAATTGAGAACTTTCCATTTGTAGGTCACAAATATTACTGAGTTATATATAAACTCACTCACTGCTATCAAGTCAGATCTGACTCATAGAGGCCCCTCCTTTGGTTTCCAAGGCAGTATCACTAAGGAAGTAAATTGCCCAAACTTCCTTCCAAGGAGGGGCTGATGGGTTTGAACTGCCAGACTTCTGGTTAGCAGGCAAGTGCCTTAGGCACTATGTCACCTATGTCATCAGAACTCCTAATCATATATAAGTATATATAATTAAAAAAAAAAATCAATGCAAGTCTAAGGAAAACCATATATAATCATATTATACAAACTATGATAAATAATATGATTAATGCTGAATATATTAAATTTATTTTACATACTCATTTACTTATCCAAAAACTAAAGTGTATTGGTATAATTATTTCCATTTGGGACATGGGTACAATAAAGGACATAAAGAAAAGAAATTATTG